AAAACAGTTAAAAATTGACAAAATCACCATCAGTCAAATGCAAAAAGCCGCACTGCTTGGATCTGCACGCACATTACGAAAATACGTTACGACATCCTAGGCCCCTGGGTGGGGCCCGACTAGTAACCAATGCCAAATCCGGCGAAACAACTGGCCGCTGTGATACAATTGTATAATAATAGCAGCAGAATTTTTAGGCCTTGGATCCTAAGGATAAAAAGGTGACTGCACATTTCAATAAATACAGTAATACTGACGTATTTTTTGAATTATAATGGAAAAATCTGAGATAATAGAGGTTCTCACTTTGTTCTATGCCTTGCAAAGCCTAAATAAGGCAACATTTATGTACCTGTAGATATATTAGATTGAGAACATAATTTGGCATCTATAATCAGCATAATTTGGCATCTAGAATCAAGGAGAAATTATAACTTGCCTATAATTTTATCTTCCCAGAGATAACTGAAGAATTAATTTCCCTTTAGCCCTAAAATATTTGTGCACATATTCTTAGTTATTTGGGATCTGATTTAACACAGAAAAACAGCAGAATAATAATAGTTTAAATTATCCCTCTAGAGTTCTGTAGAAAACAATAGTTTAAATGTTCTTTTAAAATCTTCCCAAGTCAGATTTTACTTTGAATCTATTATGTAACTTATACTGATTTATTTAAAAGGTTATTATGGGTTTTTGTAATGTTTATGCTTTTAAACTTTATGTTGTGAGATGCTCTAAGTGGATTTGTTTGGGCAGGATACAAATATAACAAGTATATTGATTTTCATTTCTTCTCCTATTTACATGTCTGTTGAAAGAAGGAAAATATTGTTCAGTAATGTGGTGTTATTTATAATCTTCTTTATATCTAGCACATGGCTAGCCATAAGGGAAATTTAGGTTATGAAGAAATCCAAAGCTGCACCTTGAACTTGATCCTAAGTGCCTTGGAAAGTAGCAGTCCATTTCTAAGATGTTCTGCTGCTGAAGCCCTAGCCAGACTTGCACAGGTGGTAGCTGATAATACTTTCACTGCTGGATTGGCACAAATTAGCTTTGACAAGTAAGCAATTTCTCATAATATGGTTTTGTTGCATTGTTTCAAAAATAGGTATATATTTAAGCCCTTTGGGTCTATGCATGCCTACCATGAAGTTGACCAGACTTCAATTCTGAACAGATTTTTTTAATCTACAAAAAGGAAAGTATTTAAGTAGCGGAGGCACGAAAGGAAACACCTTGGGAACTTTGAGATGTGTAGACTTCAGCTCCCAGAATTCCCCAGACGGCACCATTCTTTCACACACCTTGTTCTATCCTGTTGCTTTCCTCTTCTGCCCCTCTATTCACTCCAGAAATGTTCATTCCATATTTACGTAAGGATTTGCTGTCAACTGAGAATCACTGCTTCTTTCTCATTAGCCCTTTATACCAAACATTTACAGATGTCAATTTAGTAAATATAAAGTTCTTCAGAATTCATGGAAGAAAACTATAGAGTTGTTAGCATCGTATTAAGCTTCATAATTCTAATACACTTAGAGGGCATTGGATGTGGGGGGGAAAAGGCTGGTTAATAAATTTTCTGTAGACTTAATACTAGACTTCATAATAAATCATAATTACAATTATTTTATTTTAATCCAATTTTCTTACAATTCCTAGGCTAAAATCTGCGAGAGATGTGATATCAAGAACAGGACATTCTTTGGCTCTAGGCTCTCTTTATAAGTACACAGGAGGAATTAGTTCCGCTTATCATCTTACTGCATGTGTTGGAATACTTTCTACCTTATCTCAGGATAACACTTCACCTGAAGTACAGGTATGTATTGCAGATGATAATGATGATAAATGTCTAAGCGAAAAGCAGCTGATACACACTCTCACACACAAACTCTATTAATTTCCTGATTTATGGAATGAAAATTAACATTTATATTTTCTTATTTAAAAAATACATTGCAAAATATTATTTGAACTTTTAACGTATTTTTGTTGTTCTGGTACTTTTGGGTGGCATAAAGACTAATCATGAGTGATAGCAGAATTGATAGCAGAAAGACTAATCATGAATGATAGCAGAATTGATAGCAGAAAGACTAATCATGAGTGATAGTCAATTAACTGGCACGTGTTCAAAGTTTCTGGTGAACTATCCTTCCTTGTTTTTCCTTCTTTTTATTCACCTCTTCCACAACAGGCAGAGAAAAAATACTACATGTGCTAGAAATTTGAATCTCAGATAATTAAGAATTAAACTAATTTCCTTAGTTTATAGTGGTGCAATTGCTACTGTGACAGACACATCCATTCTCTTGTCTCCCACATCTATATTGCTGCCAACTTAGGCAGGTGTGAGTACACCGAAGGAAGATGATATATGCAGAGCAGAGCCCCCAAAAGATTGGACGATCATGGTCTAGATTGCTTTATTCTATGTATTTTACATGTTACATTGTACTGTGTTGCTGGCATAGTATTCCTCACCCTTTCATTTACATGCTTTTATTTTACACATAACTTTGGTTTTTATCATACTTAGCAAATTATTTTATATTTGTTTTCATGCCCATTACACATGTTTTGTGTCTGTGCCCGTGTGTGACACAACTACATTTTTGGTATTTTACAGACGTGGGCACTGCATTCTCTGTCACTGATCATTGATTCTGCTGGTCCTTTATATCATGTGCATGTGGAACCTACCCTCTCTCTTGTTCTTATGTTGTTGTTGACTGTGCCTCCTGCTTATACTGAAGTCCATCAAAGCCTTGGTCGCTGTTTAAATGCACTTATAGCCACTTTGGGTCCTGAGTTGCAAGGTATGCATACATTTGTGACAAATGATAGGAGCCAAGATAATAATCATTGAGTTAATTTGCTACCAAAATGAGCATGGAAAACCATGATAAAAGCTTTAGAGTATTTGTATTTTTACAAAATCATGCACAATCTTATTTGTGTTCCACTTGAGTTGTGATTTACACACATTTTTATCTGAGATCTTCAAATAAAGAAATACTCTTTTTCCCTCTTCATAGAGAAATTTCTAGTAGCCAATACTAATTGACAAATTATTATAATTATAAGAGTAGAGAATAAAAATGATATTTCTCAGGTTATACAGAGAAAGACTCTGATGAAAGTAATTGTGTTCAAGGCAAAGGTATCTTCTGAGCATGTATGCATGCACACATATACATAAAGACTAGATTACTAGATTATAATTATGTAATTATAACTAAGTTGTCTACAAGAAACATTAGAATTCTCTCACTGCTCATAAAATATTTTTCTACATGTGGAGTCCTTGTTGCTCTCTGAGCTTGGTTGTTTGCCTGTGGACATTCATTATCCATCTAGGTAACATCATCAGTTTTAATCATGTGGTGTTTACTCCTTGTTTAAATAAAATAGCTTTTGCCCAGCCGTGTTGATGAGAATATGAGTTTTCTCCTTGGTAATTCCTTGATTAGGTTATTGTTTTTTGTTTGTTTGTCTGATGTTAACCCCTGCTTATCTGGGTGTTGGATGCTGGAGAGCATGTGTTCTGATCTTTTTGTTTCCTTCTTAGCTTTTTTATTGTCTCTTTTGAGTGGTGTGTAAATGTGGTTTATCTTTATGTGCGTAATGATCGCTTCCAGGAATCCCTAGCATTTTTGGACCTAGAATGCTCTCTGTTTCCCAGTTGAAACTATGATGCATTCTGCCAATGTGCTGTGAAATTAAGGAGTTATTGTCATATGTTTTGACTGCTAATTGGCATTCATGGATGTGATCTGGTTTACTTAAGAGCTATTCCCTAGCACTGATGATACTACCTAGTTGGATAATGAAGTGTCTACAAGCAAACAACCAAGTTCAGGGAGCACTAGGGTGCCCTCAGTTCAATCCTTAACTACATATATGATCTTCTTTTGATATCCTTCTATATAATAGAGGTCTTTTGGAAATAAATGTATATTTTTAGTAAAGCATGATCTAAATAGATTTTAAAAACAGATGTTAATAATTTGAGGAACATGCTTACTGTAGTTTGGTTTTTATTTGTTTTGAAATGTTATTTGCTAAAGAAAGTGATAAAAGGGGTAACATATTTTCCCCCTTATTTGCCTTATGTGTAGGCAGCAGTGCTGCAGTCTCAGCCTTAAGGGCATCCTGTCTCCTTGGCTGCACAGTGATGCAGGGTAATCCTGACTGCCTCGTCCAGGCTCAAGCTATCTCTTGCCTTCAGCAGCTTCACATGTTTGCTCCTCATCATGTAAACCTGTCTAGTCTTGTCAAGTGCCTTTGTGTAAGTATATAATCACACAACTATACAACTATGTAGTTATATGGGTATGTTACAAAAAAAAATTCAGTCTTATTTCCAACTTTATAATCAGAATGTTCAAATTAGTGTTTCAAAGAAAAGCAGTTTGTGTACCACATTCAGCAGAATATTTTGAAATAATACAATCCATTGCTTTCAGAAATGTGAATATAAACTTTATATTAGCCAAGTCTTATGATTGATTTTAGCACAATGTCACAATATGACCCTTTACAGATGTATAATGGTGTGTGCGTGTGCATGTAAAACATTTATGAGTCTTGTTTTCTAGTTTAATGAACCAAATTAGTTCAGCGGATTGAGGAGGAAGGTAGGGGGAGCGTATTTTAAGAGAGAAGGAATATAATTCCTTATGATATTCCATATGAAAATGACTCTTTTCTGTTTGCCTAAAGACAAGGATAGGCTTATAACAGGTCAGCAGTTTTGGTAGGAGTAGAACAAATGGAAGAAAATGCACTTAGCAGGATTATTATTCTCTGCTGGTTAAAAAGCGAGAAGTTACTTACTTGACTGATCTGCTGACTAGGAACATCATACACAGTGGAGTGGGAAGAAGAGAAAGCCACTTTTCGGTGTTTCATTATGAACTCTTTTAAGCAGTTCCTCTCGACCAAGCAGTTTGTGAATTTTTAGTTAAGCACACCCCTTAAAGTTGGTGAAATGCTTTTTTTCAGATCCACTTCTTGAATTAATTTACCAATTGGTGAAGGACATTTTGTATCAGCCTCATGAGAGAGAGAGAAAAATAAGATCAAGAATTCTCAGATATCTCTAAGAAAATATATTTTCTTAATAGAAATTGCCAGACATGGAATATTTTAATGTTTTAATTTATTATTTATTTATTTGTATCTTGCCTCCATTATTTTTTACAAATAACTCCAGAAGGTAAACATATCCAAAACACCTTTCTCCTTCTGTTTTCCCCATAACAACAACCCTGTGAGGTGGATTGGACTGAAAGATAATGACTGGCCCAGAGTCATCCAGCCGGCTTTCATGGCTAAGGCAAGACTTGAAATCTCTTGCTTTAAAGGCCTGATGCCTTTGACCATTAGACCAAACTGTCTTAATACCTGTTAAATTCAGACTTCTGTTTATGACAAAAATTAATTCAATGAATTTGAGTAATTGTAATTCAGCAAATTCATACAACAAGCTCCCTGTGGAGTTTTGGAGGGAGGTGGCAGGGATTAGGTATGGTGAAACATAAATTATTAACAAATTTTAAGACTGGGAGAAAAAACATTCACTCACTCATTTCTTTAAAAGGGTGTTTTGATATCTAGTACATATTTGTTTTTTGTATAAAAAATTGGCCTGTATGGATATCAGAAGGAAAATATTATCAAGTGTTGATAATAATCCTATAGGACTGTATAATCCTATGTATTGCCTATGCTAGCATGGAACCCATCTCTGCCATTTAAAACATTGATATTCTGAAATTAGTGCTTCTTGAGCTATGAACTAATTCTGAAGTTAAATAATATTAAAGAGAAAAAAATTCTATTAGTGATTTTCCAATTAAGCCTTTGGAAAGGTAATCATCATACCTTTCTACTAAACTTCATGATGATGAGGCTATTTGTTAAGCTATGGTTTTGATTGTGAAAAGGTATAACAATCAATATTAAATACTTTTCAATGTATTATCCAAAATTACAGATATAAATTACAGTGTATTATTTCCACCTGGCTCTAAATCTGTCACTGCTGATGAGAAATTGGCGCTTTTAGATCTGAGGCCAATGAATTTTCATCATAGGGTGATTTACATTTTTAATACTAAACAAAAAGTACATATAGCTAGTTTCCAGTGTGGTTTCAAATTAGTACTTAATATTTGGCTTTGAACAAGTATTATAATAGCATTATTAATTTTAAATAAAATATTAAGTGATAAACTAATAATAATATTTTATTACTGCATTATTGTAAATAGTGATGCAGTGAATTTATTTTGTATTGTCGAAGTAAGGATCACTGGATTCTAATATCTAGCTTTTATCATGACTGGATTATCATTTGTTTTTGTGCAGGAGATCTTGTTGGAAAATTCTGTGTTGGTAGGTCTTTGTGCATTGTTAACACATCAGCAATTTTCAGTCTGTGTGTGTGTGTGTTTTAATTTCTTCCTTTATTTCTATAGTTAACCATTAATGAAAAATAAAATATTTTTAGCATGTGGGGTGATGTGTTGTTTGAACTGAACTAAATTCTCTCTTAACATCTTTTTACTGTAACTGGCATTCAAAATTTGTGTGTAATTTATTTTTGCATTATTTTAACATAGCATATTAATTGCAAAAGAAGTGAGTTTCAATTGTCTGTCTATGTGTATAATTTGTCTGTATTGCTTGCTTTTTCTGTGTTATTTGTTTTGCTTTTTTTCCTTTTTAAAATATGAAGAATGAAATAAATTGGAAATGTGCATTTTGCATTGTCTTGCAGTTGAGCTTTATTGGTTCTGGCTTTTTCGTGTAAAAGCAGAAGAATCTTTTTTAAAAGCATGCCTAAATCTCTACCCAGTGAAACATCAGCTTGAATATATGTTTAAAATATTTATCTGTGTATTTAAATTGTTAATGTTGAGCTTATCGGTAAATTTCAGTTTTTTAGAAATTTTTGTACCTATTAACTTCTTTACATTAGAGTGTATGTAAGAGAATATGGAAAATTAAATCACATTTCATTTGATTATCAAATTGCGATTCTGCCATACCTCCTTTTAGGGCCTGCTCTTAACTTCTTTTGCTTCTCTTTTACACTAATGATTTTTCAATAACCAACACTGGTGATTGCTTGTTGTTCAACCTTTGCATGAGACAATCACCTTAAAGTTATGCACTTTTGACTATGGCACATCAAAAAGAAAACTAATAGCAATAGTTTTATAATTGGATATAATGAATTCATTAGTTGGTTCCTCCATTATCATTTTCAGCACCTAAATTCAATCATAAAAAGTGGTCATTTAATATTGTTTAGATAGAAAATAGAGTTTCACAAAAGTGTTCCTGAAGATTTATTAAATAATTGTCAAAAGCTCCCATCCAGGTAGGGAAGACATGAGGGCAGTTCTCAGTAGCGGTCCTTGATATAGAATACACTAACTGTCCCCCCTCACCACCACCAAAGGTACACCTGGCCCTTTCTTTTCTGGCATTTCAAAAATGGTTGGAAACTGATATTACATCAGAGCTCTGGCCCATTATGAGGACTTGTGGGGGAATCCTCTAATGTTGTATTATGATCTGGTACGCCACTTAGAGTATTTTAAATCCGAGTGATATATAAATGCTATTGAATAAATAAAGAAAATAAGAATAGCATTAGCACATTTAAATTAATTAAATAAAAGAATTCATTTTGATAAATTATTTGATAAATTAATAAATGTTGAAAGTAATGTTAACACAACAACATTGGGGATCCTATTATAAAAGCAGTGTTTTTGTTGTCCTGCGATGTATTTTCATATATACTGTATCCTTTGTTGGTGTTTTTGTTTTGACACCAATTATAAATGTAGCAATTTTCATGAACTGCGTATTAAAGTAACACTTGTTTAACAGAGGGTGTCTATTAAATTTGAACATTCATTAGCTCAAAAGTTTACCATATGAGGGCAAAACACACACACTCATACATGAAAAAAGCCAACTTCAATTAATGTTACTTATTCAAGCATTTAGTAATACATGAGAAAACTAACTACACTGTGCTTAGCTTTATTTTTAGCACATGAGAAATGTATAACGCTTATTGGAAGAAAGGGACCTTTCAATTTTAATTTATTCTTAGAGGCATCTTGCCTCTCTGTGATTATCTCCTAATGAGTGTATAAATTGGGGTAATGAGATGGAACTTCAAATTCAGAGGAGGAATAAGTAAAAGATAGCATCAAAACAAGGCCTAAAACCCAATAAAGTAACCTGATTTTATGGTTTGATGGTTCTGTCTCTCCAGCTACAAAACTCTTCTTGTTTGCCAGCCATAGCTTCTGCTGCTATCTTGCTCTTTATCATCATCTAGATACTAATTGCCTTCAGTCACTCCTGACCACTGCAAGACATCGTTTTCTGCTACTTGCATTTCATTAGTTTTCTGTATTTGGTAATCACTAATTTCAGATTCAGAGTCTTCAGTTCTGCATCCATACAGTAAAGCAGGGTTTTTTCCTCAACTGTTTGTAAATGTAATGTTGACTTTTTTTCTAAGCTGTAGTTGAAGGTTGATGACTTTAAATATTAGTTTTTAAGATTTGGGTTGGGTGTGTAGCCTTCATGTGCCTTTATCACTTTCATGCTCTAACACCATCTTTTCCAAAAGAATCTCTTCCTATTCATTACTCTGGAATGATTAATGTATTTGAGAGCAGAACTATGCAATTTTATTTTTCAACCATTGTGCATATTTTTAATGCATAAGTAGAATGTTATCAAGAGTGAGGAGAATCTTCATGCTTTCAGTGATATTTTCAACATCTCATTTTAATATCTTTGGATGCATAATGACTGAAGAACCAGTGTTGGAAAATGGTAGCATAATAATTATGACTTTTAAAGTTTATGTTAAATGACAGACTCTTGATGCCCAACATCTTGCAACACTCTTGGACAATACAGCTGTTCATCTACAACTGGTAGTTATAAATTCACCCCACCTTTAATAGATATACAGGTAGTCCTCAGTTACAGCCATTTATTTAGTGACTGTTCAAAGTTCAACAGAACTGGAAAAAAAATGACTTATGGCCATTTTTCACACTTGCCAGTTGCCCCAAGCACTTGAATTTTGATCACGACTATGGGAATGCTGTAATAGTCATGTGTGAAAAGCAGTCATAAGTTATTTTTTTCAGTGCCATTGTAACAGTAGGGCAAACTGTCACTAAATGAATGGCTGTAAGTCGAGAACTACCTATAGCAAGGAATCTTCTGTCAAGTCTAACCAAGAGCTAATTCAAAGTTAGAAATCTAAACAGTTACTGTTGAGTGTGCCTCTGAATGTCAATAAGGATACCATCTGGTTATTAAGTTTGTTTCTTGTGTATACTTTTTAGGTGAATCTCTCTAGTTCGTATCTATTATTGAGACGTGCTGTTCTAGCTTGTTTGCATCAGCTTGTGCAGAGAGAGGCAGTTGAAGTATCTGAACATGCAGTGGCCCTTGCTAAAGATGGTGGAGAAGACTTTACTCCAGGTAATACTGAGCTCTTTATCTTTAGGATACAATGTTTTTTTCAGATAGGCCATTGCTGTATTTGTATTTTTCACTCTGTATATACTGAGGAACACTTCAGACCTGCTCCAAGCAAACAGCCTTAAGCAGTGTTTCTTAATCTCGGCAATTTTAGGTTATATGACTTCATGCTAGCTGGGCAATTCTGGGAGTTTAAGTCCACATATTTTAAAGTTGCTGAAGTTGAAAAACCCTGACACATAGGATCAAATCCATTTGTCACAAAAGCTGAAATCCACTTGGCTACAATATTTCTTATTTTCCTTCTCAGTTCCACATTTCACTTTCCTACCAGGTTTTCCTTTGAGATCACTCAAGAATAAGTTTTGTCGTTTTTTGAGGTCCTGAAAAGAAAAAGAGAGAGAGAATTGCCTGTTCCATTGATATAAAGATTTTACCAATAGAACCTATTGGGTTTTACCCATAGGTTAAAATATTGGGTTTCACTCATCATATAACAAACCTTTAGCATTGCACAATAGTGATATGATTTCTTCCCAGCATCAGAAAGCCTTTCTTAATATAAAACGATTATTTTTTATTTTTAACTTACTGCACCTGTGTATGGTTTGCCAATTGCACAGTGGCAGATAGGACAGCACTCCAGAAGGTTACGTCATTGCCCAGAGGATCATTGGTTGCCCTCTCCCCTCTTTGGAAGAGCTTTATAGCTTCTGCTTCCTTAAGAAAGTTCAAAACATTCTTAAAGATTCATCTCATCCTGGGCATCCTTTTTTTGAACTATTACCATCTGGCAGACAATACAGGGTAATAAAAACAAGGACAAATAGGCTGAAAAATTGTTTCTATCCCAGGGCAGTAACTATACTGAATTCTACTGTATAGTGCAATACTAACGCAATGTCATGTTTTCAATTCAATTGTATAGAATGTGAAGGATGTGTGTTGTGTATTATTTTTTTAGTTATAATGTACACTGGAGAGCCCTTTAATTTCCTTCTAAGAAGTGCAATGACAATAAAGTACATTTAAACTTAAAAGTACCATAGGTTGGGACATCTGCAGGGGTACTCATATCTGTGCTATAAAAGAATTTTCTGCTTCGGGAGAAATGAACAGGAG